AGAAAATTGTACCTTATTGTTAGCTGTGGTGAAAAATATAGAAGTCGGTGAATTTAAAGAAACAATTAATAAAAATCAGTGTATTGAATTCGTATGTATATAAAAAAATTAGCACAAAAAACTATTTTCCTCTATATGGTTANATATAGAAGTCGGTGAATTTAAAGAAACAATTAATAAAAATCAGTGTATTTAATTCGTATGTATATAAAAAAATTAGCACAAAAAACTATTTTCCTCTATATGGTTATAGAAGAAAAAAATTTTAGACCAGTGCGTTTATGCCGACTGAGGAAGCAGGGACTACAGTGCTGAAATACAACGCAACGCCAGCGTGGAACTCCAGCAGAACCTAGGAATGAAGGCAGAAATACCAAGCGGCGCTGAGGAATTTGTTTTTAGCGACGAAAATTCAGACCCCGATGAAAAATTAGAATAATTGTTTGGGCTCAGTAGCTCTTAAAAAGGTTGCAAAATTAAGTTAATATTTATTTATTTATTNCCCCGATGAAAAATTAGAATAATTGTTTGGGCTCAGTAGCTCTTAAAAAGCTTGCAAAATTAAGTTAATATTCGACAATATATTTTTATAAAAAGGTGTTCGCCCGAGGCGATTTTGCGTTCAACTCACGCCTCGTGCGAAAGCTTTATAAGTAAAACAAACCCATAACCAAAATCAAATTGCATTTTTAATTTGGTTTCATGTATTTTTTGATATTTCGCTGCCATCTATTTACTAATTCATCAATTATTTAGAAGTTAGAATAGTGGTCAGAAAAATCACTAATTATCGTGACATTTTCCCAATATTTTCATCGCTAAACTCACTTGTGCATCACCATGATTCAATAATACAAGGCTCGATNACTAATTATCGTGACATTTTCCCAATATTTTCATCGCTAAACTCACTTGTACATCACCATGATTCAATAATACAAGGCTCGATAAAGAGCCAATTTACACGGTGTGCTGCAAAATTGCTTGCTTTTTTCTTTATGCCTCGTCTTCATATTCTTTGTTTACTTTTCAAAGAAAATAACATGGCGCCGAAATTTCAAAGGTCAGCCAGAAAATTACAGTTTTCTTTTGCTTCATCTTGTTGTACTTGGATCATGTATGTCTAGGTTCAGACGGAGAAGCTTTTGTTGCGGCAACTCGATACTTGTGTATAAAAATTAATAACATTGTCCAATTCCATTGGTACATTTGATCTTGTGGTTCAAACAAAGTATCAGCGTTGTTTTTTATGCATTGGTTTGTATATAATATTGCTCCAACTATATCAGTGCTCAATCTGGTCTTCAAGTCAGTCCTACACATTTTTAAACTACTAAGGGCCGGTTACTCAATGTCTGGTTAACACTAATCTCCGTTTAAACATCATTATCGACGTGTTCGGCTCCATGCATATAACATGGAGTCGGTAACGTTGATAACGATGTTTTACCGGAGATTAGTGTTAACCAGACATTGAGTAGCCGGCCCTTAGGGCCGAACACGTCGATAATGATGTTTAAACGGAGATTAGTGTTAACCAGACATTGAGTAGCCGGCCCTTAGGGCCGAACACGTCGATAATGATGTTTAAACGGAGATTAGTGTTAACCAGACATTGAGTAGCCGGCCCTTAGGGCCGAACACGTCGATAATGATGTTTAAACGGAGATTAGTGTTAACCAGACATTGAGTAGCCGGCCCTTAGGGCCGAACACGTCGATAATGATGTTTAAACGGAGATTAGTGTTAACCAGACATTGAGTAGCCGGCCCTTAGGGCCGAACACGTCGATAATGATGTTTAAACGGAGATTAGTGTTAACCAGACATTGAGTAACCGGTCCTAAATATACGTTCTACTGAAGCATTAGAGAAGGGCATATATTTGGGCAATTCACAAGGTGTTGTGAAGTTATATTTTCCTAACAAAAGTTGTGTTAAAACACGACGGTTGTGAACACCTGTTACGATTATTTATTATATCTCAGCACTTAACCTCACATAACACCGAATAAACATAGGTTGCAGAGTTGTATCGTCATGTGTTATTTTTCTTCACAAAACAATAACAACATTTTTACAACTGTCATGAAATATCATGACTTCACGACAAACACGACATATGCGACACCTTGTGAATTGCCCAATAATTTTTTTTTTATTGGGAAACTTATATGAACCTGAAGAATCTTTTAATTCAAAAAGTTTTTCCTATAATTTTCTGGATCTAGTGAATAATCAATATGAATATCCTTATGATCGAACAATGCGTGTTCTCTCCATTCGTTACCGAGATTTTGCAAGTTCAAAATACATAAGTTGAAAATATACCGGTGGAATGAAAAAAATTATCGATAACATTTTTAATATTTAGCAGCAACTTAAGAGCGACAAAAACCCCACACAAGGAGCTTGACAAACCAAGCGAAATATCCCTTTCCTTAAAGCTATTTTTGTTGTGTATGTGGGTGTTTGAAGGTTTGACAAGCCGTGTGACGGAAAAGTAGGTTTGAAGAATGTTTGACAAGCCGCTTGTGTAGTGTATTTCGCTCTTTATAAAACTTCGAAAAAGCTTATTGTTAAAAAACTTGCAGAGATATTTAACAATTCTCTTGTGTAAAACATGGTTCCTTTTGTTATCTGCAAATATATCTAGAGAAAATTCCTCAATATAAAAATCCTCGAAAAATACTCAAGCGCACCCGCAATTCCTCGCGTTTTGAGGAATTACTCACAAAGTGGCAACGCTGTTTACAGCAGAATATCAAAAGGGTGCCACAACTATTCACTTGCAAGTTTTTACTAGTTTTGCGTTCAGTTACTTTTTCTGCTAGTTTTCTCTTCTCGTCAATTTTACGCTCTATTTTGCTTTTACGCTCTGGCTGCAATGTTTTACTGGAGAAGTTACTATACAAACCTCATTTTACTATTTATAAATCAGTTTTAAACTCTTTGCCTTACACACAAGCACTTACATAGTCCAGTACATCATTAATATTTTGCTTTCCACTCATTTTACCTTTGCTTGTGCTAAACCAATTCAACAAATGGCGGCTTTTGACATTTATTCTTCTTCTTCTTCTGCTAGCTAATTTTTGCTAGTAAAAATTTCACTAGCAAGAATTTGCAGCGCTCCCGTGTTGTTACGCTCTCGATTCAGTGCTCTGTTGAAAATTTGTTTGGTTGTCATACGCTTTTCCAGTAAAAATTTGCATATTTGACTATTGGTTACTATACAAACCTAATGTCCTTATTAGACTGCGATACTTCGCATACGCATACCAACATTCAGTTTTCTCGCATACGAAATGTTATCACAAAAATTTTTTGTACGTAGATATTTCATTACTTCAATTTCGGTGAAAACTCTAAATTTTTGGATTTCACGGACATGAAAACAACAAGGTACACGATGAGACCGATGCGTAATGATGTGAAAGCATGAACCAAAAATACAAGATCACGCCTTCTTCTTATACCATGTTCTGACCGACAACGAAAACACTTTGAAAATGAGTTTTGGGATTGTGGGCTGAAGGCTGTTCACACCGGCTGTTAGCGTTTTCGTTGACATTTCTTACATCTTTTGATTACAGTTTTGCTACACAAAAACATAACCAAAATACTTTTCCTTTTCCGTCTTTTCATTTACAACCTCTTCCTTTCATTCTTATTGTACTTAGGCGAACCAATTAACAATAAATCCGAAATGGTGTATTAAAGATGATAAAATATGACTTCCACTTCTATAAATAATCGAAACAAAACTTGTGAAGACACCGACTGGACTGAGTGGAACGTGAATTTTCAAGTAGTTTTCAGCGATAACTGATTTTCGTTTGACAGATTTTCATGAACGAAAGCACAAGTTTTAGGTCGAAAACCAGTTTTAGCAACAAAAACATGTTTTCGATGTCGGTCAGAACATGGTATTAGTAGCCCGTTATAATCGTATTTAGGAGAAAAGTTGGGCGACTTTGACATTAGCCGTTTACTTCGCTGCCGTTTTGTTCGTTGTTTAAAATTTTGTGGTGGCTTTTTACTGCAATTTTCTTAATTTTCTCTTGTGACAACGTGTGCATGCGTTCAACAATTACGCGTTTTTTTTTGTTCTCTTCGTTGTTTACTTCTTACAACAAAGATGGCGTCGAGATTTCGAAAGCTAGAAAATAACTTTTTTCTTTCTTTCGGGAAGGCGTGATCTTGTGTCTTTCCTTCATGATGTGAAAGTATCTGCGATACGCAGACCTACTGTGTGGTCAATATGGCCTATTATTTGCAATTTAAGCTGAAATTAGTCAAGAACGTAAACCTACCGGTACGTAAACCCGAGTCAGCTGACACGATCTGTCTTACCAAAGCGCCATGTAAATGAAAACTCAACACCGCAGAATTTTTCTGTAGTTGTAGCCCGTAGCGCAGAAATCTGCGGAATTTAGATTTTTCCGTGTCAGCTGATTTCTCCTTCTTTAGATGGTTGCCACTTCGTCAGTTTTACAGATGGTAAAAAAGTTATAAGTTCCTATTCAAAATATGTTTAAAATATTTGAAATTTACTATTGAATAAGGTTTTTGTTGAAAACTAAGTAGTTTATATTTAGCTAAAATCTATTATAGCACGAAAAATTGTAGTTGAAAGGGTAAGTTTATGAAAAGGCATTGATGAGTGGCAACAGTGTAGTAAGCAACACTGAGGGCTCCAGTAATCGACAAAATTCTGCGTATACAGACTGCGTTTAAGTATACGTTCTGCGTTCTCGACTAATTTCAGCTTTACGCTCTCTGTGGAAGGAAACACAATATGGCATCAGTCTTCCATTGATTTTAAATTGGTTACATTCTTTTTCCATAAACATCCTTCCGCAGCAAGCATTCAGCCANTTCCTTCATGATGTGAAAGTATCTGCGATACGCAGACCTACTGTGTGGTCTATATGGCCTATTATTTGCAATTTACGCTCTCTGTGGAAGGAAACACAATATGGCATCACTCTTCCATTGATTTTAAATTGGTTACATTCTTTTTCCATAAACATCCTTCCGCAGCAAGCATTCAGCCATTTCTTTTATCATATTTAACAGAGCAGATTCCAGAGTAAAATCAGAAAATCTTAAATAAATAATACTTGAAAGTAGAAATGGCCGAACATTTAAATGTAGCAACCGGTGCAGTTAAAGACGAAGAAACTGAGACACCTCGCATTAATAATTTTGCACAAAAATTTCTAGCTGACCTCAACGAGGAGCGAGAACGGCTTGGTGCTGAATTTCCTTTGTGTGCTTTGTTAATTGATGAAGGTGAATTTAGCAAAGCTGTTTCGTAACAAAACTTATTATTATTATTATTACTTTAGCCTTTGAACGTGTTTATTCTACTGGACGAGTGCCCGGCAGAGAGTTTTATGCGGATGTGTACCAACAAAAGCCAATAAAAGTTACGCAGAAAGTTTTCGTGCCTGTTAAACAATTTCCTAAGGTGATACGTTTTTCAACATACTTTAATCTTAACTAGAAAATCAAATAATATACGCAACTTAAACTTTCACACAGTTTAACTTTACTGGAAAAATTCTTGGACCTAAGGGTAATTCACTTCGCCGCTTACAGGAGGAAACTCAATGTAAAATTGTTATAAAGGGCCGAAATTCCATAAGAGATCGTGCAAAGGAGGAGGAGATGCGTGAGTCCGGAGATCCTCGATTTACACATTTGCACAAGAGTTTGTTTGTAGAAATCAGTACTATAGCACCACCTGCGGAATGTTACGCACGAATTGCCTATGCTTTGGCAGAAATACGTAAATACCTAGTACCAGATAAGAATGATGACGTTTCACATGAGCAGCTGTTGGAACTAATGGAAATAGACCCCAAGTCGGCTAAACAGTACACGAAGTAATTTTACATTCCTCTAATTTTTGAAACGTTCACATGGAAAATTTTTTTAGGTCTATTCATGAAAAGAGGATGGCTGCCGGGCCGAGTTCATACAAATTTTTCAGTGTTGCTCGCCATGGAAAACAGCATGAAATTTATGAGTAAGTATTCACACATGGAAAATACATTTTGTCAGTGAGTGTATGAAATTTGATATAAAAACCAAATTAATTCACAGACACGAAGAGTCTGAAGAAGAAGTTTACGAATATGAAAGTCATGTTCCAAAACGTGCACCCGCCCAAGCTTATGAATATGTAAAAGGTGAGTAGAAAATAAACGTTTCTATAATTAATTAATTTTTTGTGCTTGCAAATAAATAATTTGATCTTGAGCATTCAAATTAACCNCAAGCTTATGAATATGTAAAAGGTGAGTAGAAAATAAACGTTTCTATAATAAATTAATTTTTTGTGCTTGCAAATAAATAATTTGATCTTGAGCATTCAAATTAACATTCGAAAGCTTTTAGAAATAACTTATAATTCAAATAATCAACAACACCTACTGAAATAACAAAGACTGCTATAAAAGTAAAAATTTTAAATACAGTAAGTAAATAAATATTCAAAAAATGGAATCTTATCACAAATTCCACATTAGAAACGGTCTCGAAGCTCAATAAAATTGTTGAATGTAAATAAATAAATAAATACAGTAAATTTATTTATAAACGATATAATAAATAAATGTGTAATAAAGTTATCCCATCAACAGCACCTTATAAACGTCCACCCACCGCCATATATGGAACTGAATTAAAGCGCACGCGCGACACAACTATCAAATCTTATAAACCACCATCATTTGGAATTACTAAGAAATATAAATAAAAATAAGTCCTAATAATAAAACTGTTAAAGAAATGCTAATAATCGAATCCCAAAATATAACAGTGTATAACGTATACATAACTGGTATATGAAAATGTAAATGGCTATAACAATACCAATAACCACGCAAAGGTGGGCATAAAATGTAAAACAAAAATGGTCTAATCTATTGAGCCAACATAACCGAAATATGAAATATAATTACGTACATATAACACCTAATAAACCTAATAAACGTATTGTTTATCGTTGCATTAAATATATACATACCTACCTACTAAAATCAGAATTTAGTTTCTTTTTACAGCTAATGACGTAAGTATGGGTGCCCTAAGAAATGCATCAAGCCAAAGCATCAGTCTCTTTAACTTCTAAACTACAACTGATGGAAATGCCTTATTTACGCAATTACCTTCTAATTATGAATTTAACCGTGGTTACGCACATTGGGCATTCCCATCAATTACCGTTTAGAAATAAAAGCGTCTGATGCTTTGGCATGATGCATTTCTGAACACATCCATGATAACTTGTTTGTAACGTTTATTCCACACGAAGTCCAAATAAATGTCGCACAAAATAACAAGTGTTTTAATTCATTCGATGGGGTTTTTAAGAAAGTACCTTTATCGCCATATATTAGATAGGTAGTTCCACCTAATGGCATTAGCAGCCATTTGACTTGCTGGTCCTAAGACATTTTTATCGAAATCTAGCTATCAGATTAGACATTTAAATAAAGGCCCTATTATTCAGAGTGTCCAGATTTGGCGATTTCGGGCCAATTAGCTCTGTTCCAATACTTTTCCTGAAAAATCCTGTAAAACTGTCAAACAGCAAAATTACTCTCTGAAGTGAGAGTAAAAGGTGAGTAACAACAAAAAGTACGGGAACAAAAAAAAACATTATTCATGTTAGCTCTGATCCAATACTTTTCCTGAAAAATCCTGTAAAACTGTCAAATAGCAAAATTACTCTCTGAAGTGAGAGTAAAAGGTGAGTAACAACAAAAAGTACGGGAACAAAAAAAAAAACATTTTTCATGTAAAAACGTCAACCAGTGATTGCTTGACACTTTTCATGATTTTACCAGAAGAAAAAGTTCGGGTAAAATCTTGTAACTTCATTCTCTATACAACTCTCCAAAAGTTGCTCTCATTTACAGGATTTTGGAGGATTTCGGAGTACGGGAACATTTTTCCTGCAACTTACTGCAAGTTCGTGTAAATTCCGTAAGTTCATGGAGTACCGGATCAGAGCTTATGTGAGCGTACAATCGATAATTTCTTTCGATATGGTCAGCCATTTTTAGCAGGGGTGGTTCAATGTACTAGGGAAGCATCGATAAATCAACGATTTATACATCGTGTGGCAAAATATTTGAGGCATCGAAGCAAAACATCGAAGTTATCGATGCATCGATGTTTTTCCGACATTCCTATTTGGTGCAGTAAAGGATTTCTACTATTCCAAATCAAAACTTGCTTCAATATTATTTGGTTGGTTAGCTAATATGCTTTCTATTGATGACGAAGATCATTCCTCCGGAGATAGTGCTTCGGAAGGTTGTATTAACTGTGTATATTTTAAAAATTTATTCCAATTTTAACCTAATTTTCAATTGCCTATAGAATTTTCTGATTCTGAGTTCGAAGATGAGTCCAGTATCGACTACGCAGCGTTCAGCGCAAGATACATGGGAGAGATTACTGATTTGTTGGGCACACATAGTCATGTAAATTGCGAGAACGCTTTGTTGCTTAACCAGGAGATGCAACAACGTTTGGTAGAGGTGCGAAAACGTTTACAAACATTGTTACAATCCGTACAGCTGCGATACCTTGCCAACGAGCAACGATTAAAGATGAATCTGGGGAAGAAGCAACGAGGTGTTGGTATACGTGGCGCATACCTGAAGGGCGGAACTTTTTTTTTCAAAGGGAATATGTTTTTCAAAGATCTTAACTGTCGGAATTGTCCAAACAATGAGGACTACGAATATCGGAGAAATGTAGAAGGCGAAATGTTCCCTATGGACTTTGAATTGTGCAGTAGACATGTTTGGTCACTATTAGATAAAAGGGCTGTGGTGCAAGCTGTAAAAGAGCAGGTGAGGCTTGCTATTCTTATAATAATAAACTTATAATATTTTTGTGGGAATGGCAAAAAGAAAACTGATTTAGTATAATATGCCATTCGCGAGAAGAGAAAGTTTAAGTAATAAGATCAGTGGTGTATTTAAATAAAGTTGGGCTTTCAACACCAGCTGTTACTGCTTATTAAGAGCGACATACATTAACGCGCCGTGCGGTTAGAAACACGAACCAAGGTTCGTGCATTCCCACAACTGTCGGATCTACATATTTTGGCCAAGGACTGATTTCCCGAGCATTTTTTTTTTTTTTAATTTTTGTATGCTGTTACAACTAAAGTTCGATTCCTGCCCGACAAAGATATAAAAATAGAAAAGTTTTTCTAACAGCGGTCGCCCCTTATTAGGCAGTTTCAAACCCCTGCCAAAACCATATGCCGTCGGGAGGTATCCTTAAATTTGTATTATAACATCAAGCCGCCACCACAAAAATTGCATAAGATCGGCCAAACAAACCCTTGGTAAAAATGTGAGCTCCAAATATTTTTATTTTTAATACTTTAAAATATGAGTATTTTGGAACTATTATACTCAATTACCGCTAATGCGTCCGCATTTAGTCATTTTACATGGTTTGGACTGTTGCTCTAGGACACCCTATATATATTTTAGAAAATAAGTAGTTTCACCGCATGGTAAAAAAAATTACAAATATTTGTATCATGTTCCCTCGTATGTAATAGAAATTTATTGTACATTTTTTACATGATTCAATTATCGTGAATTTTTTATACTGTTGGGCAATTTATTGAATACTCTGCTTCGTGGTTTCCAAGCAACACTTAACAGTTTTCAAAGATAACCGGAGTGACCCAGATTTATATATGGTCAAGGACTGCCACTACGACATCACTCCCCAAAGCCTCTTTAGGGAGTTTGTATGGTGTTACAACAACAACAACAGCTTTCAAGTACCCAAACTGGATTGACTCATCTGAAAGTCTGTTACGTGATATCCTATATCATATATTGTCGTGAAGACATCCATAGGCTAAAATAGTGGTGCAATACTATAGACATAACCATAACCAAGGCAAATAAATGTTCCGATAAAACGTACGGACCGCCCTGTAAGCGATTATTGTTGCCCTGTTATAACGCCACAGCCATAACCATAACCGCATATTTTAGTTTTTCGCCATAACAGCAGCAGTTCTGAAGTATTTTACTACGTTATGACACCTCTAATTTGGCCTTAAGTTAACAGTTGTTTTTTTATATAAACCTTGCAGTGAAAGTAGAGTCTGAGCATATTCTTTGTATAATCCAATAGAAATATACCTCTGTAAGGATTTTAATTCCTGGAATTTTTTATGAGCATACACTGTAGGTAGATAAGATTCTATCTATATATACATATTGTATTTTACCAAACTAAGTAATATATAAATATATATATATGTATCCTTTAATTTTCTAATGGAACTCTCTTCGTACAGATTATTGATTATTTAGCTGAAAATTTTCTAATGGAACTCTCTTCGTACAGATTATTGATTATTTAGCTGACCGCAAATTTCGGGATAAAAATAATAAATCGAAAAAGCTTGAACTTGAAATAAAAGTACATACAGAGAAGGTGGCAAGCCTATTGGCACAAGTGGATGATAAATTCCAGATTGATTGGGCGCAGGTGTCTGCGCATAACTTAAACTATCGGCATTCACCCAGCAGTTGTAAAGCAATGTGGCAAGTATACTTACATCCCACACTGAAACGTAGCTCATGGACTGAGGTAGAGAAGAGACGTCTCCTTCAAGCAGCACGGAAGCATAATTATCAAAATTGGGAGCTCATTGCAACGGCAGTTCCGAAACGTTCAGATTATCAATGTTTTATACAGTATCACACTTCTGTATGTTATACGGATACTCAACGCTATGGGCGTTGGGATAAACGTGACGACAAAAAACTTCTCGAAGTGATCGAGAAAAAAACAACGAACGGTATCGTAGAATGGAATGCGGTCGCTCCGTATTTCCCGCACAAATCGAAGAAAGCGTTACACCAGCGGTACCTATATTATTTGCATCCAAAGATTAGCCATGGTAAGAAAGAAAGACATTTACTAAAATTACCCTTTACTCAGCTTTTATTTATCACTTTTAGAACCATTTACAGCAGAAGAGGATCTCATACTACTAGCAGCAGTAGAAGAGTATGGTGAAAAATTCGCTTTATTTCCGCGAACACTTTTTCCAAATCGCTCAATAACGCAACTGCGCATGCGCTATAGGAACACGCTGCAAACGCGACATAAACTAGCTCCCTGGACCGTGGAAGATGATAAGAAGCTTATGGAATGTATATCCGAGCACGGCACATCAGCTTGGTTACGGTGCGCTGAAGTGCTGGGAAATCATAATCGCATCAGCTGTCGTACACGTTTCGTAACCATACAGAAATTTTTTGTTAAAAATCCAGAAGCAACAATCGAAGATATACCACGAAAGAAGACATGCATAATGAAGAATAGTGTCATAACAACGCAGAATTGGGTGGAAAAAGTTGCTGAGCTACGTGATAATCCTGACGCCGTGCTTATACCCGAACGTAAAATATATGCAAAACAGAAGGGAAAATCAAAAGCCAAACGAAATAAATGCCTTAAAGGTGAAGAAGAACTGAAATGTGAAATACAAAAAGAGAAGGAAGAATTAGTAGAAGACAGTAAGGCACAAATAATAGCGCCAAAAGAAGAAAGTGGTACAGAAACGCCTGCGCCAGAAGAGGAAGAAACAATTCCGAACGCCTCATTTCCAGAGTGTGACACGCAAACGCCATTAGGCATAAAAAAGAAAAAAGTTCGATATGTAGAACGCTTGCGGGCGGTTGAACTGCAACTCTATAATTTTTTCAAGTACGCCTACAATTTTCGCTTAGGCACAGATGTATGCAACAAGCCGCCAAATGTGTTTTTGCGTACGGTGGCATCTTCTCTCGGATTCCGGCCAGATCCTACGCGGCCATATGTTACGGATACTTTGCTCTCGAAGTATATTGGACGGCGATGTAAGTTTTACCTTAGTACTGCACGTGAAGGCGAAGTACTTAGCCATGCGTTCGGCGCCACACTGCCTCCCAGCTGGCCGACAGCAATGGCATTCCGGGCACTTTGTGTGCAATCGTCGCAGGTACAATTAGAAGATGCAAAAAATGATGAGCATAATGAAGAAAGCAAACATTGTGAAATTGATATGAATGCCGCGGTGCAAAGTTTTCGCAAACGTATGCGTACATTGCTATACCAAACAGCGCTTTTGAGTCGTCTACAGCCAACCCGTTTCCCAGAATTAATGCAAAGCATCCCTTCTGAGCATACAACGACAGATTTGGCAATAATGGATGATATCAGAGAAGAAACAACTTCATCTGTTTATGAGATATCAACAGAAAATTCATTATTCGATTTAACGCGCGTAAAAACCGAA